CAAAAGTTTCATTTTCCATTTAATGTGTGGAAGATATTAAAACACTGTCTAACCATAGATGAATGATTAAGTAACTAATAGCTTTATATTACTGTGATCTGTTTCAAAATATAAATTTTTTAGAGAAATTTTTTTTATTTTATTTCAAATAATATTTTTTTAATTAAAAAGGAAGGCACTAACCGTCTGAGATTAGAAGAAAGATTGAAGCCGCAATTTCCCATTTGTAGGGGCATTAACATGTCACTAGGTTACAAAGACATTGGCTAATCTTCTAAAAGTTTAATTCAACACTCATTAATATTTACGCCATTTATATCAAAGAAAATATTTTTCGCCATTTTTATATCAAATAACCTTTTTACATGAAAAATGCACGAAGCACTTCGTGTAAGGTGTTGGAAGATTATATGGTCTGTGTTTTGCATGAATTTTGAAAACATTTATGAATACTATAATTTGTTTAATAAATTTTTTGAAAAAAAATTATATTCAAGTCCCACAAAAATAAATTTATTAGAGGTCTCATAAATTTCACAAAGTAATTTCAAGTTCCAAGTATCATGTATTAATAACTTAATTAAGGGCATTAGCAACTGGGTAACGGCCATTTATAACTTGTAATGAAAAATGATAATTTATAATAGCAAGTTATAAAGGACCATTATCCAATTATAAAACGCCCTCAGTCAAGCAGTCAATGCATGATTTGAACCTAAAACTATTTTTGTTAAATTTATGAGACCTCTTGATAATAAATTTTTTTATGAGATCTGAATGTAATTTTTCTATTATTTAATAGAAACACACACATATAAACCTTTTGGAACCATCATGTCTTCGTTTATAATATAAATTTTACGATAATTTACGACAGAAATATTAAAAAGTTAAATATGTGGAGTAAAACCAATATGGTTTTCACCTTTTTTGGTACGCATTGCAGAGTTACCCTTTCCACGCGGTTTACTATTATTATTATTATTATATGCACCAAACATCTAAGTCAGTCAATGCTTTATAATTTGTTTAATAAATTTAATATTATAGATGTGACAATATGTAGTTAGTCAGGTGGGAGCATATCAACAAGCATATCCTACAAAATTGAAAATTAAAGCCTTATGTTTCCTCGCGCGTGCATGAATAGAAAATCATTGCATTCACGTACAACATATATTCAGCCTGTCACTTTTGTCCAATCACTATAAAACTTTCTACAAGAGTGGTCTAACAATGAGTTCACATTCCGTGTTCATCACAACGATTTTTGAAGTGGTGATGAGTATTGTGATGCTTGTCATCTCATACAGTCTAGTCCAGTCCAATTGTATTCTTCTATTTCCACTCGGTTTTTCAGTCAATGCATTTTTCCTCCCTTTCACACTTGATGGAGCCAAAGAAACTTCATAGACAATGATGAAGATATTAATCACCCAACATTCTAAAGGGTCTATTATGTTCCAAAAAGATATTAATCTTAGCACTTTGATGCTAAAAAGTCATCCAAGCTGAGTATTCTTCACTCGTTTTTTCATCATTTAACTTTTTTTAACGTATAGTTTCAACATAAAGCTTGTAAAAAACAATAGTGAATAGTTGTGTTTTAAAGCTAATACAACTCCTTATTATTTTGGAAAAAAATACAATTATTAGTTCCTATAATTTTATCATATTTTATTATTTAGTCTCTGTACTTTTTCTTTTTCAGTATTTCAGATTCTTTAATTTTTTTATTTACAACATTAGTTGCTCTGCTTTTAAATATTGTCAAAGAGACGATAATATGATACTAACAGTGTTATATAATTTGACATGTAACTAATATTATTAAATTTTATGCTGAATGTTGAAATTAGGGTGGAGTGACCATCTAAATATATTCTAAATAGTACAAATTTAATATTAGTTTTTTTATGATTTTTAATATTAAGTTTGGACCATTCATATTAAATTTAAAATGTTCAAACTATGATCAGCTTTACTAAAAAATTTATAATTTATATAATTTTTATTTTAATAAATATAAAATAAAAGTAAAAATTAAAACGTTAAATTTAGATTATTCAAATTAAATATGCGTAGTCCTTTTTTTCGGTATAAAGGAGGCTCCGAGGAGGCAGCCATCAAATGAGCGAAGCGAATCCAAAAAAAAAAATCTGTGAGAAATGCTATTAAGGGGGTTCGGTCAACATGTGCAACTGATGCAGAAACTGACTCATTAACACCAATATTTTTTGGCAAAAATTACATTCCAGTCCCATATAAAGAAGTTTATTAAACGTCTCATAAATTTTATAAAATACTTTTAAATTTTAAATCTCGTACATTAATAACTTAATTAAAGGTATTGACAATTAAAAAATGATTATTTACCATTTGTAAAAAAAATAAAAATTTATAATAATAAGTTGTAAAAGGTGTTACCCAATTGTCAATATCCTTAATTAAGTAATCAATGTACATGATTTAAGACGTAAGAATATTTTATAAAATTCATGACCTCTTGGTAATAAACTTTTTTCTGTAGAACTTGAATGTAAATTTTTTTTATTTTTTAATACAAACACACATATAAATCTTTTGGAATCATCATGTCTTCGTTTATAATATAAATTTTACGATAATTTACAACAGAAATATTAAAAAGTTAAATATATGGAGTAAACAAATATGGCTTTCACTTTTTTTGGTACGCAATTGCAGAGTTACCCTTCCACATGGTTTGTTGTTGTTGTTGTTGTTATTATATGTACCAAACATCTAAGTCAGTCAATGCTTTTGTGTTGTAGTGCCTAAGAAACTTCATAGATGTATCCTGATGGCTTCCTTGATCATTCATGAAAATGAACAAATGATCTAAAGGGGTATAATTCTAAAAAAAATTAAAAATCATTAGACATTAATATTATTGCAACATTGTTACATGCATAATTATTGTAGAAACTGGCATATCATTTTACATTTTATAACATTTTTCGCGCATTATTTTCAGGTTTTTTTTTTTTGCAGAATGATGGTCCAGTTCTAGCTAATTTAACTTCAAGTTTGAATAGCGTTCTAAGATTTTTTTATTGTGATAATTCAAAATTAATTATTCTGTTTGAAACATGTTCGTGGATAAAATTGTCAAGACATAAAGATTGAATTAGAAAAAATGTCAAGTCATATGAACCTGTAAATTAAAAGATATTGAATATAAAGTGCGTCAACAACCAATTATGACTTTCACTTTATTCGTAGGCATTGCAAAGTAACCTTTTTCCACACGGTTTATTATTCTATGTACTTTCGTGCTGCAGCGCCAAAGAAACTACATAGATGCATAGTGATGGCTTCCTCAATCATTTATAACACTTCATTCTTGAAAATGAACCAACAACCTAAAGGGTAAATTGCTAAAAAAAATTAAAAAAAAATCATTAGACGTTAATTTGTTGAGTACATTAATTTTTTTTAAATTCTCTCATAACTTAAAATGTTGTCAAAATTATTCAAATATTAATGCCTTAATTATGCAATTGTAATTTTTTTATATATTAACTACCTGATAGCCAATATTAAAAACAGTTTAACGACCCAGTGCACATCAGTGTTTTGTACTGTTATTATTTTTTAAAAAAAAAAGACAGAGATGTAATTGTATAGAAGTTTGAATAGCATTCAGAGATTTAAATTTGTTAATTGTAATCATTCAAAATTAATTGTTCTTCTGTTTGAAACATGTTAAGGGATAAAATTGTTAAGACGTGATTTTAATAATTTTATGCTATTAAAGATGCTTATATCAATGGGTTTACGGGAGGTGGAGATTGTCTTTTCTTTAATTTAGTATAATATTATAATTTATATTAATGGTTTAAGGTAAAGATCAAAGGTTATAAGTATTTTTCTGTTCCCAAGTAAGTAGTAAAAACTTTTATTATTTAAATAAATTAAGACTTTAAAGTTTTATAATATATGTTACAAATTATTTTCGGGTTTTGCATGATGAGTATGCCGAGACTGATAACTTCGATCATTTTATGTCTTAGTTTTAAATTTATAGTTTTGACTGCTTATGCATTTATTGACGATGCTAGAGCCCAAAAAAATTCATGAATTTTAATTTAGAAAATAGAACAAATCAGCTTTTAAATTATAGGTCTCAAAATGTTTAGAATTTTAAATTTATTTTTTATATAATATTTCTTTTTAAATTTTGAAAATAATTTAGTATAAAACTTACTATTAATAAAAATCAATTTTTACGATTAGTTGATAAAAAATGACCAAAAAAAACCTTCAAAAATTTTAAATAAAAAAAAGATCGAGAATGTTGGACAGCTGTCCATTAGGAAGCTTTGTGAGATTTCCTTTATGGCTTTGATTTTTGCAAAGGTTGATAAGATTCGCGAAATATCTTCCCTAATCACGCAATCACTTTGTTAATTTAAAAATCAAATTGGACAGTTTGCAGTCAGTGCGCTCTTGTAAAAAGCCATCCAAGAAATGTTCTTCAAAATTTCATTTTTCCTTTAAAATTTTTTAATGCATAACCTCTAACCACACGGAAATAATATTTCCTTCGATTTTATGAATGTAAGAACTAGATGAGAAATTTGTTTTAGTTTTAAATATAAGGTCTCAATCTCCTTTGTCTCCTTTATTTATTATGTTTTTCCAAACTACCTCTATTGATTGCTCCAAAAGGCCAATGTAATTAATTTATTAAAATGGTATTTGAGGGAAACTAACATTTTTTTTTACAAATAAGTATTCTACCTAATTTTCATAATCTATGTAAATTAGTTAATTGGCTCTTACATTTTAGGACCAAGTCAAGGGTGTAATTGTATAAGTTTTACAAGCATACAACTTATTATCTTATATTAATATATTTCAAAAAATTCATGTACCTCAAGTTTCATAGCCGAAAAATACTATAAATATGTGATCTTCATATTCATCAAAAGCCACCTCCACGCATATCACTAGATATATTTTCATACAAAAAAACTCACTTGTCTAAACTTCTCTAAATATGGGGAGATGCTCCATAGTTGGCTTTGTGCTGCTTTCCTTGTTTGAAATTGTTCAATTAGGTTTGAGTGAGAAATGCATTGAATTAGAGAAGCAAGCTCTTCTCAAATTCAAAGCATCCTTTCTTCACGATCCAAATGAGGAGATCTTTTTCTCTTGGAATCCCAAAACCAATTGTTGTCAATGGGATGGCATAGCTTGTCACAATGTTACTGGTCATATTCTCAAACTTGATCTCTCTTACCATGACTTAAAAGCTACTGGTGTTGATCCATCTTTGTTGGAGTTGCAACATTTGATTTATTTGGACTTAGGTGGGAACAATTTCAATGCTATCCCAATTCCTGTCTTTTTTGGCTCTATAGAGAGGTTGAGATGTCTATCTCTTCAGGGTGCTAATTGCTCAGGGAAGATTCCAATCAATCTTGGAAACCTCACCCACTTGCAGTTTCTTGATCTGAGTTGGAATGATTTTCGCATCCATGACATGAATTGGGTCTCTAAACTTCAATCTTTGCAACATCTCAACTTGAGTGGAGTCTACCTTGGTGAAGCTTACAACTTGTTCCAGGTACTTCCTATGCTTCCTTCCTTGTTACAACTCCAATTGGCAAGATGTGGACTTCACAACTTGCCCACTCCTCTTTCCCCCATGAATTTCTCAAGTAACACCAAAGTCCAAGTCGTCAATCTTGTTTCTAATGACATTGATGGTCGAATCCTTGATGCTTTTCAAAATTGGACTTCTATTAAATCCCTTGACCTCAGTTCCAACAATTTTAGTTCAATGCCGCCATGGTTATATCAATTTAAGGATCTGGTTTCTCTTTATCTTTCAAGGAATGTACTTGTTCGACCCATTCCTGTTGTTTTGCGAAACTTGACTTCCCTTGAAAAACTTTACCTTTGTAAAAACAATTTTAGTTCAATTCCATCTTGGTTGGGAGAGTTAAGGAGCCTTCACTTTCTCGATATTTCCATGAATCAAATCATAGCCAGAGTGGAAACTTCTATTTCACAAATTTTACGAAACATGTGTCATTTGAGAGAATTACATTTTGAAGAAAGCAATCTTCAAGGAGAAGCATTTGGTGACTCAGATTTTCTTGGATGCCTAAGATATAGTATAGAGGAATTGCACTTGAATAATAATAAACTCAATGGCCATTTGCCAACATGGATAAGGTATCTTGAGAAACTAAATTATCTTGACCTTTCAAGTAATTCTTTTAGTGGCAACATTCCTCAAAGTTTTGGTGAACTTGTAAATCTAGATAGCCTTAATCTTTCAAGTAATTCTTTTAGTGGCAACATTCCTCAAAGTTTTGATGAACTTGTAAATCTAGTTAGCCTTGATCTTTCAAATAATTCTTTTAATGGTAACATTCCTCAAAGTTTCAGTCAACTTGTAAATCTAACCATCCTTGACCTTTCAAGTAATAATTTAAGTGGCAATATTCCTCAAGGTCTTAGTCAACTTGTAACTCTACAAGTACTTGATCTTTCAAATAATTCTGTCAGTGGCTATATCCCTCAAAGTCTTTGTTACCTTGGATATCTTAAAAGCCTTCATCTTTCCCATAACAGTATCTCTGGTGAAATTCCAAATTGTTGGAGGGATAGACCTTTGGGATTGGTTGGAATAAATTTTTCATACAACAAACTTTCTGGTGAGTTCCCTATCTCGATGGGTAATCTTTCCTCATTGTTTTTGTTGCATTTGAACAACAACTATCTTGAAGGGAAGCTTCCATTGACTTTGGCAAATTTGCAACAATTGCAAATGTTAGATTTGGGTGGGAACAGGTTTTTTGGAAGTATACCGTCATGGAATAATAACACATTTCCTTCATTGCGTTTTCTGAGGTTACAAGATAACATGTTGGTTGGTAACATTCCTCCACATCTTTGCCAACTCAAGTCACTCCAAATTTTGGACCTTGCAAATAACAATTTAAGTAGCTCAATACCCCATTGCATTGGCAATTTTACAGGAATGATGGAAGGCAGTGTTGGTTTTTCAAGATTGGTATATTTTGATAGAAATTTCAACATCAGCTATAGCACATTAGAACAGCATCTTAAGCTGGATATGAAACTAGTTATAAAAGGAAGAGAATTTGATTATACTACCACCCTTTTCCTGGTGGTCTACTTGGATTTGTCAAATAACCATTTGATAGGATCTATTCCGCTTGAGTTATTCTCACTCACTGGATTGATAGGCTTAAACCTTTCACACAATCATTTAGAGGGAGTAATTCCAAAGATGATAGAGAATATGAAATCCCTTGAATCCTTTGACATCTCTTGTAATCAAATTTTAGGCACAATTCCAAAGAGCATGTCCAAGCTAACTTTTTTGAGCCATTTAAATATGTCATACAATAACCTTTCAGGGCCGATTCCAACAGAAAATCAATTCTTGACTTTGAATGATCCATCCATTTATGTTGGAAACCCTTATCTCTGTGGAACCCCAGTACAAAAGTGTCAAGGCAATGATACTCATCAAGTTCTTGGAACCAAAGAATGGGAAGATGGACATGATTCTGAAAAAGTGTGGTTTTACTTTGTCATAACAATTGGGTTTGCCATTGGCTTTTGGGGAATCATTGGGACTTTAATGTTGAAAAAGAGTTGGAGATATGCTTGTTTCAGGCGAGTGGAAGACGTAGCAGATGAAATATATGTGCACACTATATTAAAGATAGCAAAGATGAAGAGGATCCTCAGAAACCTTGTCCATAGCCCATCTGAATAGCACTAGACGCCTATTGTGTCTCTTGTTATTAGTCTTTGAAACTGTCTCTCTCTGTGCATGAAAACTATGACAATTTGTAATTAAGGGTTTTGATTAGTATGTATTATTCCATGTGACGAAAAAATCCCCATTAATATTTAGTTTAATAATTTATCTCTGGTTTAGAGAATTTTTTTATTCGTAATTATATTATTCTATTACCATACAAAGAACTTCTTACCTAATTAAATTTAAAAAAATATTTAACTCTTCATAAGTATGTCGCTTTAGCTATACTAACTTTCATAAAATAGTGTCAACCATTATTGTTTAATTGCACGTGGTTAGAGATGATATATCAATTGCTCTTTTACCAATTAAGCTTTAAAAAAAAGTAATGACATTTTAAGAATTATTGGTAAAGTAATAATAAAAAATTAAAAAACTGGTGGAGAATGTTCTAAACATTTAATTCTAAATCATGTACGTTTTATCAAATAAATCACAACTTTTTATAAGTTGAGGAGACTTGGCCACTTAAAATAGCATTCGTATGATATCTTTATTTCTAAGGATCTAAATCTTTAAATGTTGTGTCTTGAAATAGAATTCAAATTTTTATTAACAAAATTAGGCGTGTGTGTTTTTTTCCTCTTTACACGCAAACATGTGTAATTAATTATCTGTATCAAGTTTTATCTTATGAATTTTTCTTATATTACATTTGAGTTTATTGTTCTTCTCTTTTAATTTTTCATTATCCTTGTTTTACTTTTTGAAAATTCTTATTTTTTTTATTTCATTATCTTCATTTCTCAAAAATCATATATTCTATAAAGTCACGTGCTCATATCTAATTATTTTTTTTTAAAAAATATTTTTTACATCAAACATAGATATTTGTAATAATGGGAGCTATGCCTCCTAAGCATAAAACTTATTGTATATACAAATACAATCATTTTACTAAGAGTTTTTGTATTAATTTAGTACATATTAGTACTTTAAAGAATAAACTAGGCTCATTGTTTCTCAATGTTTGTTCTTTTTTTCTTTGGGGGGTAAAAATCATAGTTACTTTATCTACATGAAAGTAGTGTTAAAATTTTGTTCAGTGTTCTTAGTCCAAAAAAAAAAAAAAGCAAAGAAACAGTTACTTGGGCTTTGGCCCAAAAAATTATTTTCATTTATCTGTAGTCTAAAACATAGCTTTATCAAGATCATTGCTTTACTGCCATCCCTACATTCACTCTTATGTGACATAATTAATTATTTCCCTTGTTTGCTAAGTAAGAAAAAATATTAATTAATTTGAGTAATTAAATATTGAATAAGTATTTATTTAATAATGTTGCAATAGTTGATAATAGTCAATCATCGATCAATTGTTTGTGCTATGAAATACCTTGTAGGCGCTAATTCATCATACTCATTGATGATAGCAATAATTATTGATTTCGGTAATTTGACACAACAAAAAAAATATAAATTAATCCGTGCAGTTGCATTGAATTTAATTATGAAAATAGAACAAAATTTAAAAATTTAAATTAATTTACAATAATATCAAAATAAAATTAATAATAATAAAAATATAACACTTGAATATTCTACTTTTATATAATATATTAATCATCATTTGCAATTGAAATTGTCTGATGAAGTCAAATAACTGCATATTGTTATTATAAACTTTTTGTCTCTCTTCATTTTCTCAATGTTCTTGTTCCTGAAAATCCAAAATACAAACATTCCTATTTGAGAATAAAATCTAATATTGTTTTGTCAAAACATTTGGATCAATGAAAATTTGGATTTGAATTTAGTCCAAATCTCTTGTTTGGATGCATAAAAGTTTATAAATTTAGATTAGGTTCAAGTCTTAATCCATTTCTCATTACAATTTATTTTAAATTTCAAATTTCCTCTATACTTTAGTTATTTGAAATTTTAATCACTTCAATCAACCTAAAAACTACCTAAATGAATTTTAAGGTTTTCAATATTAACAAGATTTCACACTAATAATAATCCCTGTCATGACAAAAAAAGTTTAATTTATCCATTATCTGATAAAAAAAATTATGCTATGTCTTGGTCCAAGGGGCAATGAAGTTCTAGAGGCTATTATTTAAAGTAGGTCCCAATAAATTATTTTAAAAAAATAAAGCACAAATATTAATTTAGTCAATTATGAAAAAAAATTTCAATTGCAAACTAAGAATTACATTTAAAATTTAAACGTCCTATTTGTAAGTAAAACTCTTAAAAATTTACAAATCTTTGAGTCATGATTTGTAACTTAATTTTCAGGAAAAAAATTGATAACTTAATTATCATTAATTTTCTCGGTCAATACTTAACCGTCATTCTTTTTTAAAAAAAAAAATAGGGGGCCACTACATTGAAGACCCTGTTCTATTTGATGACCACAATGATAAGACCTAATAAAATTGGACAGAATATACAAAGCCTTCTAATGGTTTTAGCATTAACTCATTGAAACATCCCTTCAATGTCATCATTGAGCACTATTATTATTATTTCATGTTTCTATTTTGTATTTACAAGCTTTAAGTGCTGCCAAATATCTTGTTTGAATTGTATAAATAATCCAATGCTTTATTAGTGGGTATGTTGCAATTTTCTCAAAACACTTAATAAGAAGTTCAATCTAATCAGGGCTATAATGTGTGATATTAGTTTATAATACAATCAATCCTAGCACAAGGACTTATAAATGGTAATCAGAATCTATTTTTTTAATTTTAAAATATAAAAAAATTCCTCAAAGCATAAAAAATTTTATTAAGTTATTTTCATTCAAATATCAGTCATATTTATCTTTTTCTTTCGTTGACCTCACATCTATTGATAGTTCTACTCAACAATTCAATTACTTTTAATTACTTAGAATACATGTACTGATTATATAAATTTTGATGTATAAAAATTATGTCATCAATTTTAAATTTTTATATATAATCTTTTAATAAAAATATAAAGTTCTTAATTTTATTTTTTAAAGAAAAATTCAAAGATTTTAACCTTCATAAATTAATAAATATGATAGATCATACTATAAAAGCTCAATTAAAACAAAATATAAAAAAAGTGAATTATAAGGACTTACTTCAAAAATTAATTGAAATTTTAAGATGTTGACTAATTTCCCAAGAATAAAAAATAAAAAACATTTCATTAAAAAGATCTATTTTAAAAAAAAAAATAGAGACCGGCACAAAAAAGAAAGGTAAATTCTTTTTTTTTCAATTATTAGAGATACTCTCTATGTTGTTTCTTTTTTTCTTTTTATACAACAACCACTTCAAACAAGCTCAAATCACATTAATGTAAGTATCGATAGCTCTCAAAGACGCCACAACACATATAGTCAAGGAAGGTTTCTGCCATGCATCAGCAGGCTATCAACCAATAGCAGTCAGCTTCAAAGAGTTCAGCACAAATGAGATGTGAAGATTGTAAACATTGTATTTTACCTGAGTTTTTAAGTGTAAATTAAAAGTAATAAAAACATGATAAATAAAATAAAGGAATAAAAAAAAGAAGGGCTTTTGTGATAATAATAACAATAATATTTTTTACCCCAAAATTTCCTTAATTATGATCCCATTAAAGTTGACTTTTTTTAAAATGAAAATTTAGAATATTTGAAATCTGATTTGAGAAAATTGCACCTTGACTAGGATTTGTTTTTAATTAATTAAGAAAAATCTGAAATCTCAAATAATAAAAAAGATTCAAAATAAAAATTGCCTTTTTTGTTTGATCCTATTATTAAATAAGAGAACCCTAGTTAGCACCTATAAAAAGGTAGGGAGAGAAGACGGAAGGGATGAAGAAATTGGGAGAGGAGGCAACAAATCACAAAAAAAATTTTAGAAGGATAGAAAGTCAAGCGAAAACAATATTTTGAAGATGCAAAGGTAGAAGACTTTTCTCCTATTCTTTATTTTACTCTTCCAATGCTTAAGTCTAATTAAGTGATTAGGAAGGAGATTTAAATCATTTGTATGCGATGTACCTATTGTAATCCTCTTTCTTGTTTTTTTCTCCGTCTTGTGTAATGTCACAAGAATATGGTCAAGAATTTGTGATCCCATCTTCAGAAATCATCCTTATAATAGTTGGATTATTATATCAAGGATATCAATCCAAAATCATGCTTCCTTGTCTGCACCCTCATTTATTTATTTATTTGTTGTGAATGCATTTACATTAAATTTTTTTCTCCTTTATGCATAACATAATGTTTGTCCCAAAAGGTGTGTGATTGGTGGATGATCTCAATCAACGTTGTTAATGTTACTTGGCCATGGGATTTTGGTTTTTCACACTTCCTGTTGATTTTGAATTTCAATTGATTGATATGCTTGAGTGATATTAAATCACCATAACTATTAATTAAAAAAATTCTCTTTGTATTTTATTTTAAAAAATAGTAAAATTTATAGACACATTTTAGGTTATGTCATAGGTGATAATAAGTTACCGTAAATACCTAAAAGCCTTAAACGAGATATCATGAATGACATTAAGTTATCATAAGTAAAACAATAGTAATAATAATAATATTATTATTGACATTTTTATGGTATCTCATGAATGATACTAAATCACTATAAATACTTAAAAACTTTAAATAAGATACCATGAATGACACTAAGTCATCGTAGGTATTAAATTTTATATTTAAAATTTTAAAATTAAATTTTTCTATAAAAAAAATTCACTTTGAAGATTCTTTAAGATTTGTCATGAGTAATACTAAATTACCATGTACATATAGAAGCCTCGACTAGTGGACTGCAAGTGATACTAAATCACCGCAGGTTCTAATATTTGTTAAATTTCCCTCTCTTATGCATTATTAATAAAATAATAAAATAATGAAAATTTAGCATATTTTGGGTTATCCCATGAGTGATATAAATCACCGTAGATTTCTAAAAGTATCAAATAAGATATCATGAATGACACTAAGTCATCGCAAGTATCTAATTTTATATTTAAAGTTTCAAAATTAATTTATTCACTTTGAAAGTTCCTTTAGGGTTTGCCATGAGCAATATTAAATCATCATATGTGCTTAGAGTGTCAACTAGCAAACTGTGAGTG